TAAACTTTTATTATAACTGTTTCCCAAAGAGAAACTTTCCAGAAAGTTTAAACGGAAACAAAAGATTTAAAAATAAATTTATGAAAATATAGTCTGACTAACCAATTAGACAAAAAGATTTATTGTTCATTTTTGACCAACATTTGCCCAAATCGACAATTTATGAAATATTATGAAAGTAAGCATATTACTGTACATGCTATGCATAATTAGAATATTTTAACACAAATTAAATTTACTTTAGATTCTAAAGTTCTGAATCTAAAGCTAAATAACACTACCGTATGCCTTATTTTTAGAAATGTAGTAAATCATAGAAAATTTAATTCTATTTGTTTATAAATAAGTTTGTAAGAAACTTTCAGTAAATTAAATATTTGTTTTGAATTTTATTAAATAATAACTTAAAATTTTTCAAAAAGTTATATTTTTAAATATATCTTATAAATATGTTATTTGTTTAATCAAAGAACAAGGGTATCATAAATGAAACTTCTTATAAAATCACTATTTAACAGAATACCGTATATAACAAATTGTGCCATCAATTGAATTTATAATAAGAAAGCTTTGTACAGTACAGTATAACTGTGCATTGTACTGTACTGTACAATGGGTTATGTATTGCATTGGTATTGTTTAATAATTGCAAATAATTACCAGAACTAAGTCAAAATTGGTCTCATTACCTGTATTATTTATTTTTGGTTTTATATAATTTTAATAATCAACTAAAATACGATACTAATAAACTATAAAAAGAAGTGTAAGAAAGTTTTTAGCAATACTAATGGTAAAAGGATTTCAACTATACAAGATAATATCTATCATAATATATCATATTATGTCCTTACAATTCTTATAATGCTGTATAATATACTGTACAGTGTATATCCTTGGTGTTTTGTTTAAAATATTAATCATCCGTAAAGTTTTATCATTTAAATAAAATTTATCGAATAATTTATTAACATTGCTAAATTATTAAACAAAAATAAGAATTAATTATTGATCATACTGTTATGGTTATCATTTTGCCACAAAAGTTATACTGAGGTTTATTGGTACTTGGTACTTTTGTGACAAAATTATTAACATCTTGTATTAGTAGGTATATTATTATTTTAGCAATACGTACTGTAAACTTAAATTTTGTTCATTTGAATAATTTAGACATTTAAAAGTAAAGTTTTGTAATTACCGGTAATTTAACCGATATTAAATTTAATTTAATTTATAGTGTATTACTTGGTATTACCAAAGTAGTAATAATTTAAGAATATTTAAAACACATTTTAATCATTATTTTATTATGAAACTTATTTTAAATTTCAATCAATACAGAATCTGTAAGTCAAATAACAATTAAATCGTGAATTTTAGAACAGAGAATATTTTCAAGAACTGCAAAATCAGATTTGAAGAAATAATAATAATAGAGTCGTTCACTAATTGGTGAGAAATCATCTGCACTTCAAAGCGATGGTCGACTCAACTGATTGTCAGTCTCTTCGTGTCTACCTTTGCATGCAATCCATACATATTCTCCCAATTATTTTTAAAGTCTGCGAATACTTTTTAACAATTTATTGAATAAATTTCCTAATAATTTGTGTGTTTGACTTATTAAAGGAAGTTTGCGCAAAATTTCTAAAAATTTGAAAATAATATTGACAAAGGGTTTCTCTTTGAAAGGTCTTTCAAATTTGCCTTTGTTTTCTAAATTTTTATTTAAATACTTTTATATCAGACTGATTGGTTAATCTGTTTTTCTAAATAACAAAATTTTTGACCAACATTTGCCCAAATCGACAATTTATGAAATATTATGAAAGTAAGCATATTACTGTACATGGTATGCATAATGAGAACAATATTTTAACACAAATTACTTTAGATTCTAAAGTTCTGAATCTAAAGCTAAATAACACTACCATATGCTTTATTTTTAGAAATGTAGTAAATCATTTAATTAAATTTAATTATAAGAGAATTAAAAGCAAATTTAATTCTATTTGTTTATAAATAAGTTTGTAAGAAATTTTCAGTAAATTAAATATTTGTTTTGAATTGTATTAAATAATAACTTAAACTTTTTAAAAAAGTTAAATTTTTAAATATATCTTATAAATATGTTACTTGTTTAATCAAAGAACAAGAGTATCATAAATGAAACTTCTTATAAAATCACTATTTAACAGAATACCGTATATAACAAATTGTGTCATCAATTGAATTTATAATAAGAAAGCTTTGTACAGTACAGTATAACTGTGCATTGTACTGTACAATGGGTTATGTATTGCATTGGTATTGCTTTAATAATTGCAAATGATCAATTGTCATTTAAAATTGACAGAACTAAGTCAAAATTTGTCTCATCACTGTATTCTTTATTTTTGGTTTTATATAATTTTAATAATTAACTAAAATACGGTACTAATAAACTATAAAAAGAAATGTAAGAAAGCCTTTAGCAATACTAGTAGTAAAAGGATTTCAACTATACAAGATATGTCCTTACAATTCTTATAATAGTGTATAATATACCGAACAGTATATATCCTTGGTGTATTGTTTAAAATATTAATCATTCGTAAAGTTTTATCATTTAAATAAAATTTATCGAATAAATTTTCGAATAAACATTGCTAAATTATTAAACAAAAATAAGAATTAATTATTGATCATACTGTTATGGTTATCATTTTGCCACAAAAGTTATACTGAGGTTTATTCGTAGCAATTGGTACTTTTATGACAAAATTATGGCAATTATGACAAGATTATTATAATCTTGTATTAGTAGGTATATTATAATTTTAGCAATACGTACTGTAAACTTAAATGTTGTTCATTTGAATAATTTAGATATTTAAAAGTAAAGTTTTGTAATTACCGGTAATTTAACCGATATTAAATTAAATTAAATTTATAGTGTATTACTTGGTATTACCAAGGTAGTAATAATTTAATTTATAAATTTTGTGTAAAATTAGTAATAAAATAATACTTTGAATAAAATTTAAAGTTAGTTATGTCTTAGACATTCAGTTTATTGTTAATTTAGCACTTAAAATCTTGTCTCTTATAAAAGTTCTTGTTTATAATCAACTGCTTATTAACTAATAGCTAGGTGAACAATTTTATTTATTATAATGTGATTTAATTGTAATTAAAATCATTAATATTCAATAAGAGTCGAGAAACCAAACAATTGTATAATAAAATCATTTTTGTATATTATTTCATTGTGCACTATTTGAGGAATTCTGTGAATTGACCTTGATGTTGTCATAGTTATGGTGAATAAATCTCATAAAATAGACCTGTTTATAACCTGAGAGGATGACACTGGCTATTAATTGGCTGCCATTTGACATATGGTTCACAAAATTAATAATTTATTTTAAAAATAATTTCGAGGTAAATATAATGCAAATGTGACAATCACTTAAAATGTTACTTAAAAACTAACCTATCATATTTGTTATATATTCTGCTTAAATAACTCTTAAATAAAAACAACTAATAAAAGGTTTTAGTCAAAACACAATATATTGAAAACTTTCTTATTTAGTGGTCAAGAGATCAGTTGCGCACAAATTGTCTAATTATCTAAATATGAATATTCGTGTAAATATTGATATAACTTCTAAAATAAATAAAACAAAATCTATGTAATAATGATTAACACATTTCACAATTTCCATCACATTCGAGATCCGGGCGACCATTCAGTGACTCCAGTGGCCACTCAATGGACGCACAGAACACAGTCTTTCATGGACTTAGAGCTCATTCAGTCAATCAGTCAATCAGTCGATACACCGGGATATGAGTCTGACTTCATGTCATTTACATTCAAGTCATTGTTTCTCATTTATATTAATAGTCTGTATAGAGTTATAATTGTATAATAGATTGTATTATATAATTAATTTCGAGGTAAATATAATGCAAATGTGACAATCACTTAAAATGTTACTTAAAAACTAACCTATCATATTTGTTATATATTCTGCTTAAATAACTCTTAAATAAAAACAACTAATAAAAGGTTTTGTTATTTCATGAAAACACAATATATTGAAAACTTTCTTATTTAGTGGTCAAGAGATCAGTTGCGCACAAATTGTCTAATTATCTAAATATGAATATTCGTGTCAATATTGATATAACTTCTAAAATAAATAAAACAAAATCTATGTAATAATGATTAACACATTTCACGATTTCCATCACATTCGAGATCCGGGCGACCATTCAGTGACTCCAGTGGCCACTCAATGGACGCACAGAACAGTCTTTCCTGGACTTAGAGCTCATTCAGTCAATCAGTCGATACACCGGGATATGAGTCTGACTTCATGTCATTTACATTCAAGTCATTGTTTCTCATTTATATTAATAGTCTGTATAGAGTTATAATTGTATAATAGATTGTATTATATAATATCTTATAATAATTAACTTATTTCATAACATGTATTCATATAATAGTTATACTGTATTTGTTTATATAATTTAAACCGAGTTCAGAGTCTATACCTCAGAGACATAGCAAACAAATAATTCAATAATTATATTGTCGCCAAAATAACAATAAATAAGAAACTTAAGGCCGAAGTATATGACAGTGAACTCGCTTTTAACTAATATTTACAAAATTGCTTTAATGGCAGTGTTTCTAATGGTTTAGTGAATGTGTGGTTTGAGTTGAGACAAAATCTATCAATTGATAAGACATTGAGGTCCACATCATAGTATGACATCTAATTGATGAACACAATGAGTGTTTCGGTATTATATAACGATTCATAGCATACATTGCAAGTCTAGACAAGTCTATGATAAACCCAAACCAAACTCTCTGAAGACTTGACATGAGGACAGTGTGGCTACAAATCAATTCATTTATTAATTAACATAATTCTAATCTCTTTAATAAATAAAACCCATATTAATGTGAAATAGTATTGAATCCTATGCTTAATATATGTTAAATGAGTGATATATTGCCAGAACTGGCGTTACTGTTGGCATCCTCTTCAGTAACCGATGAAGAGCCCACAGAACCGCTATCACTGCTACCACTGTTCACAATGGTTGACAATTTGGGTTTTATTACATGTGATCTCTGACGACGACAACAACACGGCTCAAGAAGTTTCGGGTAGATTAGGACCTCATTGTCGGGCCCTTTGAATATAATGCCGCAACAGATCTTCTCTCTGAACATCAAACAAAAGCATTTGTGAGTCAATCGGCAATCAATCGGCAATTAAACACAAAAAGTCTCACTTTTTCCAGAAAGACATGTCTAAGAAGGAAGTGATGGCATTGTTTGTGGGGGACTCGCAATCACTGTTGCGTTTGTCTGCGGCTTTGGATTGTTTGCCACAACCACTCACTTCCTTCTTCGTAATCTTTTGCACTTCTATTTCCTCCTCCAAGTCATCCATGTCTTCGTCAATGTCATCGTCCAAATCAGACATATCCGAGGCGTCGGGACTCGGGATTTGATTTGTTACTACATTTAGACGTCCAGTGCCTTCAAATCCAACCAATGATCAGAATATTTGACAAATAATAGGAATTTCAAAGACAAATACCTTTCGTATTATAATTGTCGACAATCTTTGGCTTCCGATGAGAGTTGACATGAGGTTTGCGAGAGTTTGAGCCGTGACTCATCTGATCCAATGATGTGGTTGTACTTGGGATGCCATTATCACTAATGCAACTGAGTTTTGATTTAATGGACTTAGTTCCGGGTCCAGCCCTGGCGTCCACCACGTGATGCCAATTGCGGGTCGTATTCGATGGCAACTTCTTCCAGCGCTTTACCTATCGGGATATAACCACAACTCATTGGTTCCGATGATATTAGCAGATATCGGATTACATACCAGAAGAACACATGCATTACATATCTCTCCACTTCTTCTCTCAATGATTTGGAAACACTTCTCGAATTCCGGTTCGTATTTCTTACTGTCGGTGAACCGAGAACTCGATGACTTGGCTCTACAGATACAACAACCAGATAGCGATCGATAGATCTTCGGCTTATGGAAGCTAAACATGATTACAACTCATCACTCAATTGCACCAACAGTTCCAACACTTGACCTAACAGTCAAACAGTCGACCAAATGATCAAATGGTGGCAATAGTTAACAGATTGTCACTGAGTGAGTGGTAATGGGATTGCATATCAATGGATGTGACCATTAAGTGATAGAAATTGATTGAATGAAACTACTGTTGAATTGGTTGAGGAAATAGATGTCTCATGAAGGCATAGGAAGGCATAGGAATCAATAGGAAAGACATACACATCAGAGCACAGCCACTCTGACAGTCATAGTGACCCAGTTTTATATTTAGCTGAATATAATGCTTAGCTAGAATACTACGGTATATATTATATAGCTTGCCATTACTAACTGTGCTAACTGTGCTAACATACTATCTATTCTGTAGTACTGTATGCCGTATAGTGTATGGCATACACTGTATGTAGTATTAGATCCAATGCCAACCCAATGCCAAACCAGTCCTCATAACATAACATTCAACGCATACTTCACTGTATTTAGAGCTTTGGGTTAAAAGAAATTCTGTTTTCATTCACTTCTTGTATAATTCAATGCAAAGGAGTTAAACACAACTCACATATGATTTACACATTACAATCATTACTTATATGAATGCTAAGCATTAATGCCTATATTGTTTAATAAATAGAAATGTTTTTAATTCATTTCAATGACATTCTGGTTATCATTCAATTAGGCCTTCATTAAAACCTTCACTTTACTTATAGAAAGCGGTTTTCATTTATTAAGTAATCGATATATTTATAGAGTATCTTATTAGAGAGTATAATACATTATAATGGATATAATTATAGACAAAGTATTCAAAAATATTAAAATTACTCTTTACTTATAGAAAGCGGTTTTCATTTATTAAGTAATCGATATATTTATAGAGTATCTTATTAGAGAGTATAATACATTATAATGGATATAATTATAGACAAAGTATTCAAAAATATTAAAATTACTGTTAAACTGAGGTTTAAAAACTATGACAGAAATGAACGATAAGTGCATTGACTTAAAGAATGAAGATTTAAGAGTCGTTACACTTTTCCCTATCATTCACTATAACTTATTTTAATGATCAATATTTTTAATACAAGTTATTAATAAATATATAATGCTTTTAAATCTCTCAATTTAAATAGCCATTAAAGTGATTATATAATTTAAAATTATAATTATAACTTAATGCTTTGTATATCATAAATACTTGATAGAATATAATATTTACTAAATTATAAGTATATTACAAGAATGAATAAAATTATAAAATTGGAATTTTAATCAATTAAAAGTGAAAATCTTGTTTTAAATATAATATAAAATATTTAATTTAGATAATAACTCGATTTACTCCAATGGTCTAGAGATAGGAATTTAGGACAATATTTAATATGTGGGGTAAACTGAAAATGAGTTCAATTCTAGCAATAGAGAGTTAGTTAGAAACCAAAACATGATTTTATTTGTTGATAAAATATAAATTTATAATTTTGTATCAATATAAAATATGATATTAATATTCAAACATAGTCATTTATTTAATAAATTATTAATAATAACTATAAATAATTTAAATATTTAAAATAAACAATTTTAAAATTATTTAATTAACAATATGAATAAAAGATATAAGAAAATTAATATGTTGAAATAGTTTTTATATAAACATTTTGAGTATTCTATGAGATATATTATGTAAAGAAAATGAGACAAAATTTTATTTCTTTATAAATGGATTATATAACAGTGAGTTGGCAATGGTTTTGATGGTGTGTTTCGCAAATTAATTTAAGAATTATATGTTTTCAAAATTAAACCTACACTATAGTACTGTATGTGTAATTTGTATTAGCTTAACAGACTATAATAGCCATGACCCCCAATACCTACAATTACAACATCCATATAATATAATTATCTCAATGAATATATTTATGTATAATTCAAATAAACTCAGATATAAATCATACAAACTATTAATGACCCAATTCTTAGTACATTTTTACTTAATATTGTATTTATAGGCAAACCTTTAAAATAAACACTTTCTCTCTATGATAATATAGAATTAAATTTTGTGTTATAATTTTCCAGAATTTGGTAAGAATTGAAAATAAAACCAAAAAATAAATTGCAGTTATTTTGAGAGACGGAAAGCTTTGATTCAAGCAAAGTGTGTGATATGAGTGGTCTGTAAACCTTATAAATTAAGTCATAAAGAGTTATATATAGAGCACTGGAAAACCCGGAAGTTTTGGTGAATAAAAAATCAATAAACTGAACATCAGTTGGTGTTTGCGCACACTTACCCGAAATGTATACCAGAATCACCCATCAGTCCAATACATGATCACAATACAAACTATTTAATCAATTTTATTCCTCACTGTAAATGTTGTATTCTAGTTAATATGTAGTATGGTTTTGATTTGATTATGCAAAGGTCTTGTATTGAATATAAATAAATATTTGCTTTTTAAATAGTAAATATTAGAAATATAATCTAGTTTACTTTACATCTACTCCATTGAATTTAGAGACATTGCAGACAGTTTAAAATGAGGACAGGTTTAAGAGCAATGAAAGTGACATCAATTAAAGGTGAAGGTCTAGATTATAGATTTCAAATAAAATTCAGCTAATTTTGTACAATTCTACTGTACTGTACAATACTTTGTATAATTGTACACAATTCTGTTCATAACTGTGTATCCAATTACCATAGAAATTACAATAGATTCTAGAACACCATAACTTATATAATACTCTGTAAGTTATTATAACTTACAGTAGTAAGAAGTTTTGAAAATGAAAATATTGTAAGTGAAAATTATAATAAAATTCTATTGTTATACTGTATTGTATAAACTAATTATCGCACACATTCTAAGACTATCTTGCATTTTATACGGTTTACAGTAAAATACTAAACGCCCTTTAACATAAAATAGACTA